TATTTTTGAAAACATTGTTTTGGAGCTGTTCAATCAAGCTATTATAATTTTGTTTGAAGTTGCTCAAGTAACATTCAAATTGAGTAACTTCTTAAACATTTGATCCAGGTATATGTTCTCAAGGTAAAAATTACTTCATTTGTTGATATATCAAATCTTGATTTAGGTGTTAAATATAGAGCCGGTAGAGCCGTTTCGAAAAGTAGTGAACTATAAGAACAAAAATTATTTTTATATTATTTCAATAAATTGAATTTTTACAGCTCTTTGAAGTATTGTTAAATATTGCAATTTTTACTTATAAAAATTAGATTGTAAATACCTACCGGAATAATGGCTTAAGATAGTAAAAATGCTCATTCAGAATATTGTACATATGATAGCAGATAAATACCTGGAATGAAACTTAATCTCTGCTATCTTCTGTTGATATTTTTATTGTTTTTTATATTTTTCACTGGAATATTTTTATGAATATATTCAAGACAGTCTCTTATGTTTACATATTCTATAAATACCTTTATACTCAAGTTTCATTCAATCCCAAACTTTGTTCTGGTAAACTTTGTACGGTTTTTGTTAGATTAAATTTGTTTTATTACTGTTTTTATTAATTAATGATTCATAAAATAGCAAGTTTAAACAACTGTTATCGGTCAATCGGTACAAAAAGAATTTGTCATCCCTGATAAGCTCCAATTATACTTATTTATAATTCTGTTATGTATGTCTGTATGTTTGTAGATTAATACACGTGCTTAAAGATATTATTTTATTAAAAACAAGAATCAAATATATAATAACATAAATATTAAATGGTATAATATTAATGTTTTATTAAAACAAATTGTTCACTAAGCGATAAGATAAATTGAAAAAAAATCTCTCTACCACATACAGATTTAAATTTCTAAATTCAAGAGATAAGGGATTGCAATAAACTGAAACTTATGTGGGCTTTGTAAAACTACTAGAATTTCACGAAAAAAAAATCAATTATTTTATTGCAGTAATAAATCATAATTTCTTATCAATTTTTAAAGCACTTTATAAATTTACGCAAATCCTCAATTCAGTTCAAAAGTTGATTTCAAACGCAGTGGTCAGTGAAAGTCAAGTGCATTTTGTAGAGAACTCAAAATTTTTTAGAATTCAGGAAAAATGGGAAGGAAGAGACCACCACATGTGAGTGCTGCAATGTTGTTTTCACAAATATTATCTAATTTTAGATAATCTAATGAGATAACAGATAAAAATGTATTATTTTTAAAATAATAATTTCTTAACAAATTATTATTGACTTCTTAAGTTAGTTTAAAAAATATTTTATTGTTATTGATATTTCATATATATATATATGATTAAATTTAAATCAGTTTTGTGAAATTCATTAATAATATATACTTATTCTCACACAGATGGCAACCGAATTTCGCTTCAATCCAACATTAACAGAAGGCGATCCTTGTTCCAGACCAGTTTTGATTATCGGTCAATTGCGTCATTTAAATCTATTAAAATTCAGTGATTTAGCTGTTAAATTGAATCCACGTGTCTCAGAGGATGTTTTCAAGGATGCCATATCTGCCTTACATCCATCACCTACTGATAAGTGTTCAATGTATTTGGATGTAGCAACTGTAGCTGCATTACCTATCAAATGTTCACGTCACAATACACCATCACGTGCTCATGCCATCACAGCTTTGGTGAAAGCTAATGTTTTAAATGTTAATGATGAAAGCATTGTTATAGTTTGTGAACGCAATGATATATTCCCAGCTGCTTGTGCTGTGGTACGTGCTTTTCCATTGTTTACGCGTAAGACTGGTAGCTTAGGTGCAAAACATCACATAGGTGATTCCAATGACGATCAGGCTGATAAGTCCATTGTAAATATTGAATTTCTTGTCATTGAGAAAGATGGTCAACTATCACAAAAGCCACTAAGTAAAGAGGACATTGCATGCATAGAAAGTGCAGCTTATGGTATACGATTAACAGCACGTATTGTTGATACACCTTGCAATGAAATGAATGTTAGTCATTTTGTAAAGGAAGTTGAAAACGTCGCTTCAAAGTTATCAATTAAACCGAAAATTATACGCGGTGAAGAATTACGTGAACAAGGATTTGGTGGCATTTACGGTGTTGGTAAGGCAGCCGCTGTACCACCCGCATTAGTTATATTATCTCATGAACCGCAAGGCGCACATGAAACTATCGCCTTGGTGGGTAAGGGTATCGTTTATGATACCGGCGGTCTTAGCATTAAGGCTAGAACACAAATGCCTGGCATGAAACGGGATTGCGGTGGTGCAGCTGCTATTCTAGGCGCTTTTTATGCTGCTGTTAAAAACGATTTCAAAGAGAATTTGCATGCAGTATTCTGTTTGGCAGAAAACTCTGTTGGTCCAAACGCAACACGGTATGTTTATACTTTTAATAATTGGTTTTGTAAATAAATAATATTTTTGTTATTTGCTTTTTAGTCCTGATGATATACATACATTGTATTCCGGTCGCACTGTTGAAATAAACAACACTGATGCTGAAGGGCGTTTAGTATTAGCTGATGGCGTTTGCTATGCTAACAAGGATTTGAAAGCCAACATCATTTTGGATATGGCAACTTTAACTGGAGCACAGGTTAGTACATTAGATAAGTTAAAATGTTGGATTTAGAGTAGTTGTGAGTTCACTTTTTTAATTATTTCATTTTATAAAATAATATTTTTAACATATTATAAAATATATTATATTTATATTATAATATATTATATTTATATTATAGTATATTACATTTATATTATAATATATTATATTTATTATTATGTTGAAGCTATTTGAGTCAGTGAACTTGAGCACTTTTACTCTTTATTAACTCGAGGTATCTTCAAAACCCCTCTTTACGCCTTGACTGTTAACATATTGTTATATTTATATTATAATATAATATTTTAATTAAATATTAGTTTAATTACCTAAAGTTGTAATAATACTCCGCCCTGACTGAGAATTGTTGACTTCTAAAGGATATTTATGTATTCAATTTAAGTCAGTTAGTTATTGAACACTGACTCTGAGCTTCAAATTTGGCAGGGCACGAGTTCAACCTTTGGTACTTGCAGTCTCGAAAAATTATTTACGAATAATTAAATACAAGAAATAATTCCAAGATCACTTATATGGGTATTTGGCAATACTTTAAACAGCTGTATTGCCAGTCAAAAATTCAATTAATTAAAATAATATAAAAAAATTTTTGTTGCTGAAGTTCACTACTTTTTGAAACCTCTCTATAGACCTTTATATAATAATAAAACCAATAATAAAAATTCATCTACAAGCTCTTATTTTTTTTCACATCACCTTTTTTTCATTTATTATTATTTTATTCAAACAAAGATTTTGCACACCATTTTGATATTTAAGAAACTAAAGCTAAATAAGTTTAATGAAAAGTTAATCAGTGATGGCAAGAGAGATATACCGTCTTGTAGTTAAGCGATAGTAGTACGAGAAGGTATTATCTATACTTTCGATTCTCAGTGAGTATTGTTAAGAAATACTGGCTAGTGCTTTAGCGGTAGTAGTTTGAGAAACCATAATCTATATCATCGATGTACTGTGAGTATTGTGAAAGAGATACCGACTTGAGGCTTAGCGGTAGTAGTATGATAATATATATTCTAATACATTGATGCCCAGTCAGTGACACTTGCACATTTCTTTATTTGTTTTGCCCGGGGAGAAATAAATGGCGGATAACATGTAAGGAACTACAAAAACGAATACGTTGGTAAGGGTATGACTGGCTAAAGTGTGAAAGAGGTATTGTGAAAGAGGATTTCTTGGGAATAAGAGCGGATTGTGGATAGTACAATATGATTTTATTTTGCGATCTCCCTTGCTTTATGATATAGCACAATTCCTTGCTTTATTGTACTTCGTAGTACGCAGTACTTAAAAGTTGGCATGTATTTATTTTATATATCAGGTGCAAAACCGTTTTATGAAGTAGTAGATATCATGGATCTATTGCTTTACTGTCTATTAGAGTACATAATAAAATATGTTTGAATTAATATTACTTATTTAGAACTTAAATTTTATTGAAATGATCTTAAATTCTAAAATATTTTGTTAATTTTAATTTTATATTATACCATTAATGTATATTTGTTCATAAATTTCACTTAATCTGAAAGTGACACCGATTAAAGTAGGAAAGTAGATTGTAGTAGTATATAAGTATGATGGTTGTCTTCAATGTAAATTATCTTTAAAGATTTAAGAAAGTATTATATTGCAGTTCTTATAGTCATTGTCATTCTCATCATTATTGTTTTTAATGTACCTCAGATAAGTGATATGTTTTTGAATTCATGTTGAAATTGATGAGTAGTATTATCGAACCAATATGCTTTCTTAGGAATAAAAATAAAAATTGTACCTATTTTGCCATATGTCATTATTTATCAATTTTAGCAATTATAATCTCTTATGTCACGTAATAGAATCTGATATCTAATAGAGTCAAAACTTAATGTAGATTTAGTAGTAGATATTTTCAACAATATTGGGAGTGCTCGTAGGTCTATTACTGAGACAGCTATTAAACATTTTTGAAAACATGTGTTAAGACCAGACTTTAGTCAATATTCTTATGCTCTACCTTTCATGCTTGCTTCTTCTCTTCTCCATATTATTTTCAGTAACATTTCTTAATATGCAATGTCTTGTCAAATGTCTTCTTTCGTGTAGGCATTTGGTTACAACATCAACAATAACTAGTCCTTATTGAAATTTGAACCCAGATCCTGTTTGCCCTGGTTTTATTACACAAGTACCGTGCTATCGTGTGGTCGTAGCCTACAAGGTATTTACTCAGTCATTTTCGATGACTGTCATCCGTATTATACATTAACAGTTTTAGTTCTATTCTATAGTAAATGGTTTGTTTCTAAAATACAAAGAATGATATGTTTTCATATAAAAATGTAATCAGTCTTTTTATTCAAAAACGATTATATTATTATTATTGTTAGGGGATGTGGTACTGCGACCGTCGGCTCTATTGTGCGCTCTTGTGGGTTTAGAGTAGGTCTCTAAATCCTGTTGCGTCAATTAAAAGTAGTATAGAACCTACTTTACAGATTTTTATTGCCTCTTCCGTAGGAATACACATTCCGACGAGCCTATTCCGTATGTGCACTAGCGCATGGCATTCTAACAGCACATGTGTGGCTGACTCCTCATTCTCTTCGCAAATTCTACAGTTTTCATCCGTAAGTATATTGAGTCTTGTAAGGTGGAGTTTTATATTATAACAATGATATCTAAACAAGTTTTTATTAGTTCCTAGTATATTGCTCTAAGCTGTTCTCTTAAAGAAGAATATGGGTTAGTGAGCACAGATCAATAAAGTTATTAAGGTCGCAGTGATCCGCTTTACTGCGAACTTCTTTTTCTTTTTCTTTTCCCTATCCTATTCTGAATCCGTAAAAGTTCGTCCTTCATTTTTCTGCTCATATACTATTCAGGAATGCATTTTTAAATATTTTTTCCTTATGCTTAATACCTAAAAGCTTAGAAAATATGTTTCATTTTGATAGATTACATTTCAAATAAAAAGTGTGTGTAATAAAAATATTAAATTCTGTTCGCTAACTTCAGATTTAATTAAATAATTCAATTACTAATTCGAAACTCTTAATTCTGCAGATATAGTGAGAAAATATTTTTTGCCGACACTTCAGAAAGGTGCTGGCTGCTTTCTGCAATTATTTATCTTAAATCCAATTCAACATGAAGTTTTATTCGAAGTATCCAACATATTGCAAACACAGAAACACATAAACATACCCAAACCCTGCTTGCCTGAAAGGAGTGAAGCCATCAACAAGCACTTGTTCACAATTCATGGGGATTCGTACTTGGAAAATGAATTGCTAACAGCTTCACAATTCGCCAATTTACTTACCTTCGCTTAGCTGGATTCTGGGATTCTACTGTACTTAGTAGTCTGTAGTTCAGTTCAGTTTAGTTGGGCTAGGGTGTGTTGGATGTGTTGGGTGTGTTGTGGTGTGGTGTGGTATGGTTTGGACGAAAGACTAAATAATTTGCAACGTCATATGTTGTTGGTGCAGATGTGGCACTGTGCGAATTGTACTCCACTAAGAGTGAATTTCTAAACATGAAAAATAAAAATCCATGCAGAATGCAATAGAATTGGTATGGAATTGTGCAACGATTGTAAACGAATCCTTGCATTTTGGTTAAGAACATAAAATAGAACATGTGTTGCCTGCTGGCTGACTTTGTTTTGCTGTTAGTTTTTAAATGATTATTTTTTTAAAATTTTTGGTATTCTTGCCATATAAACGGAACTGGTATAGAATTGAACTGAACTGCTACTGCTATTGCTTTTGTTGGTGAATATTCATGGTGGTTGCAATTAACATTCAGTATGGACTTGGTAAGGTGCAGTTCAAACAGCACCTCCATTTGCTTCTTAATAGTTTGCTTTGTGTACTTGCATTTCGTATCTTTTATCTATTTACTCTATTTAAGATTTCAGTTCATAGGTTTCCATTGAATGATTGTTATTTAAATGCCATTTCCACGGGAAAATTTTGTTGCTTGCCATACTGCTGTTTCCGTTTCGTTGTAAATTGGTCTTTTCGAATAATTTCCAATTTTCTTTTGAATCCTTTATTTTTATTATATTTTTATTTAGATATCTGATGAATGTAGATACCTGTGTAATAGTAGCATATTGATAATTGTATAATTTTTTAGTTTTAAATAATTTCAAGATACTTTATTTCTGCTATTACGTTTTTATGTACTAAACATGACTTAAGTCTTATGTCGTGTGTTGAGCCTTTTTTAAGTTAATGCATCTGGGTACTTTTACTCTTTGATAGCTGGGGAGTTTCTGCAGAGTCCCACCCACCTCACTGACTAATTTGTGTATTCCTCATAAGCTTTGTGATTATTCAATGACTGATCTAAGATCTGCGTACCGTCCCGTGCGGTTAGTGATTACTCTGAGATTAGATGGTGCTAAGTAGGGCAGCCTGTCAGTTTTCGCATATAGCTTCAGGGTTCTGTCTCTTATGTATTTTTGGACCGAGAGCCATCAGTCATTTGCCAGTTTTGTAATGATGAATGTAGTGAGTTTATAGCTAATGAAAATAGTTTAGCTTTTTGTTGTTGTCTTTTAATTTCTATTCGAACCCTTCTTACTTTTAAATAGTTACTTTTCATCATAAGACGCGTCACTTTTAACAAAAAATTATTAACAATAAAATAGTTTTGATTCTTAAAGTTAATTGTGGTGAAAGAAACCAATTTTTTTTGTTGAAACTATTGTTTTAGTAGAGGGGTATATTTTGAACAGTAATGAATTACAACAACAAAAATTTTTTCATTATTTATTAATTAACTGAATTTTTGGCTGACCATACAGCTGTTTCGAGTATTGCCCAATACACATCATCAGTGGTCTTGAAATTATTTTTTATGTTTAATTATGCGTAAATAATTATTTGAGACTGCAAGCATCAAGTGTCTAACTTGTACCCTGCCAAATTTGAAGCTCGGAGTCAGTGTGCATTATCCAACTGACTAAAGTCGTACTTGACTTATAAGTTGGAAGCTGGAGTTTTGTTAATTTGTTGTGAGTGTCCATTAACAAACTCATGTGCTGTTTTATATTACAACGAAATCATAAACCAGCTGTACATTAATTGAATTAATTAATTAAAGTTATTTTTAATTGTTATAATTAAAAATAAAATTTTATCTTTTTTTATTCGCTCTTACTTGTTATCACAACTAATATTGTCCAACTTTCCAAGTGATGCATAGGACCTCAATAATTCTTCTCAATCTCTGTAGACTCCATTTTGTGCTTCTCTGTAGATGCCGGGCTTCAGCTAGCTCACTCTCGCCCGTTCTTTTTCTCCGTGTTTTAGCTGACGCACCGGGTCTTCAGCTACATTCTGGATTCCATGCCAACGCTTGCCTCGCTGTGTAATCTCCCGGTTGTCTAAGCGTATGGCGTATTCACTTTCATTTTCTCATTTTTATCTTATTTTGTGCTAGTTTTTTAAACGTTTTTTAAACATTCATTCATTAATATGATTCTATAAATATAGTGCTGGGTCTTATATTCTTTGGTAGTTGTCTATCTTTACACGTTGAAGACCGCATTGAAAAATCTTATTTTTCACATAGGGACCGGGATTTTTTTTATTGTTATTTGCTATATCAGTTTTTGAATATGTTTTTAGTGTACAATAATTTGAGGTAGACATTATTTAACCCCGGTCTCAAGATGGACATTTACTCTTGTAAACCGCATGCCCACCGGTGAGTCAGTTTGTCTTCCACATTCTAGTACATTCTTCCACATCCACATTTTGACGAATTGAATCTTGTTGAGAATCCCCAGGTAAAACATGGTACTTCTGTCTCTGTGCTCCATCAGTCGATTTACTTTTTAACTTAGTTATACATCGTGTGAGCACGCAGGCCGGTAATGTTGTTGCGGAGTGACCCACCGGTGGGCATGTGGTCTTTAACGTGTTAAAAACTTTATAATTTTTTTTTTACATAAATTTTCTGAATTGTTTACAATAAAAGTTAAATGCGTTAACTACTTTTTTGATGTCATTTTCTGTCACGAAAACGTGTATCTAAATACCAAACATATGTAGAAGTAATAATGCAATAAATATTGTTTTTGTAACAATTACACTCACTGGTCACTAAGTCAATAAATCAAAAAGGTTCTACTTAATCCTTGCCGATTTAAAATATTTGCTTGGTTTAAAATTTAAAGCATGTGCGATTGGTGGCACTACTATTGGTCACTCTTCGCTATATTTTTTCCTCATTTCATTCTATTATTTTTTTACGAGTATACGTTTTATTTTTATTTTTATTATTTTTATTTTATATTTAATGTATTATTTACGACACTGTTTTTTGTTTGATTTCAGGGTACAGCAACAGGAAAGTACCATGGTGCCATATTGACAAATTCCGAAGAATGGGAGAGTAAGTCGTTGGATGCTGGTCGTAAGTCTGGTGATTTATTGGCACCAATAATTTATTGTCCAGAATTGCATTTTTCGGAATTTACATCGGCAATTGCTGATATGAAAAATTCCGTTGCGGTAAGTATAAAACGATACGACGACGTACCTATGCCATAAGATATAGTCGTACGTCGTACACACATAACGATAACTGTAGATGTACCACCGATATTTGTATATACGAATATATATGTTATCAAGTAAAAACAAACTCAAGTGCAGTATATGGTAGCATAGTCAATACTTACAGAACAATGCAACGGAACAGAACGGAACCTTATATTGTTTTAGTGAAAAAGGACATTTTTTTCGCATTACACTTGAAATCGATTTTTGTACTCAGAAAAATTGTGGGAAAAAATTGCTGCACATACCACAAATTTGGCAGTTAATTACAAGTGCTCAATGCAACTTGACACTTGACACTAGACTCTGCTCCAGTCGTAGCAATACCAGCAGCAGTAGCAGTAGCAGTAGCAGTAGCAGTAGTGGTAGCAGTAGTCATCGACGTAGTCGTGGTCGTCGTAGTCGTGCCGCATACCATAACATTGCAGATACGTGACCTTTTTCAATGTACGGTGCGCTGCCTGCCTGCACTTCTGCCTCCGTGCTCCATCAGTGGATTCATTTTTTAACTTAGTTATACATCATTTTTGCTGATAAATGGCAGCAAATGTTAGATTTAGGACGACGCTAGTGCAATTTAGTTAGCTGACTTGTACGTGGTGATGTTGTGTGAAATTTTTTCGTCTGGTTTTATTGTTTTTTGATTTTTTTTTATTGTTGGATTTTTTGTGGAAACTAATTAAAAGTTCAATTTTATTTATTTTATATGCGAATTTATTAAAATAAAATTTTTCTCAATTAGTTTTTATTGCACATTGTGTAGTAATTGAATTGATTCCGTTTGACAAATCAGGTTAAATTTTGTTTAAAAAATACTTCAAAAAATATTCAAAAATTTGTCGAATATAGTAAATATTTCAATATATTTTTCAATAAGTTTTTAAGTCACTTATTTTGTATTGCGATATGTAATTTTTTGAGTTGGCACAGTTTTTGAAGTGTTTAAAACGTCTGCTATATTTAACGAAATTTTTAAAAAAGTTAAGTAATATATTTTTATATATTGAGTGGATCTTAATTAAATTAGTTCCATTTTATACATCAATATTGTTTCAAATAATTTCAAATAAATTTTCAATTCCAACAACCTAAAAAATAAACGTCAAGATAAATATAAACTTTAATGCACAGTAAACTACTAACCACTATTCGAAAATATAAATCTCAATACTAAGACCAGCATGGTTGTTATAACAATAACCAAATAATTAGAAGGGTTTTCGAATAACAAAGAAAGAAATAAAGGACAAACACAAAAATTTATTTTTTAATTTTATTG